GAGGATCCTCCGGGACGCGGCCGTCACCTCGACGTGCAGCTGCAACCCCGCCGATACCCTGTCTTCTGCAGGTTTCTGGAATTCTCATGATCGGAAGGTGGTCGACAGCTGACGCCGCCGCATTTTTCTTCTCCATTTAGAGCTGGAGAATACGAGCCTGCTTGTGTGCAGTCCCGAGAATTACATGCGGTGCATAGGACAAGAAAAGGCGCTGGACACGTATACGGAAATTGTCTTTTCTAGAGCAGGTGAGTCATAAATTTTTTTTAGCGAGTCTCCCATGAAATATTATTAAATTAAGTTAAAAAAAAAATTGTAAATCGGTAGAGCGAATTTAGAGACGTGAATTTTGCTGCGAGCAGTTTTCTGGTGACGTTCCTGGTCGAAGCGTTATCGTTACTCACGCGAAGCAGGTGGCTAGATGCAGTAAGTTTGAACTGTATTTGATTAATTTCTAAAGAAACTCTGAATGGGCCTAAAATAGAGCATCTCTTTCAACGGGACGGAGCGTCAAAAGCAACAAAATCTGCCATTTTCAACATTAGACAGAGAGGAAGGCTCTCTCCCTCTGTAATATATCACTTCCGTTGTCACGTGTCAATGTGTCCTATTGTAAAAAAAAAAAAAATGAACCAGAACGTCTGATTAAAAGCGAACTCGGATGAACCGGAATTTGCTATATGAGTTGGCTTCGTAGGAAAATTATGCTCTTCCTTCCTTTCCCATATCAGGGCAAATAAATCAAATTATGGGATTCTCCTTGGTAATATTTCCTCGTGCGGGTCTGTGCTTGCTGAGTTCCTGTTCGAGTAGAACTGGAACAGAGGCGAAAATTGGCAAATCATGAAGAAAATCTAGTTTCCCACATCTGTGCTGCAAACTTCGCTGAAACGAAACCTTCTGTTGAATTCGGCATATACTTATTTCTTGCAGAGAAAGAATGCAAACCTCTGTGCACAGAAACCTCTTATGAAGTGGGGGTCACCTACGATCACCTGAATCCAGCTTACGTGGAGAGTGTGACTAACCAGCTTGGATACGACCTCAAACAAAGGTGAGGTACGAACTGATTGAGCATCGAGTTTTCTGTTAAATTAGAAATTTCTCACGCAGTGAGAAAGTGGCGATGGTTGAGGTCTATTACAACATGCTGTCAGAGCGCGTCATCACGTATACGGCGTTCTCCGTCATCGACCTCATCAGTGAGTGGACGGGAGGGTTTCCGTGTCATCCACCTCGTCGAGGTGCTGTATTGCACTGAGGCGTTTCTCGCTCCTCAGGCAGCACGGGGGGCATCCTCGGTCTCATCATTGGAGGCAGCGTCCTCACCGTCATCGAATTCGTCACGTTCCTACTTTGGCTCGCCCAGCGGCTCGTACGACTGGGAAGCGAACGGATGCTGGAGTCCAAACGTCTCAAGGTGACGGTGGTGGGTGCGACCGAGTCGCCGAATGCATGGAGGACCCTGCCCTGTCCCGAAGCGAAGACGGAGGAGAGGAGGCTCGCCATGCGCGACTCTCTCTTCATCTGAATCTTCGCATGCACTTTTACATATCAGACGATTTGACGGAATAAAATTATTTCAGCATTCGCTCTTCCCTTATGAAAATCCCACACCCATTCAACACATATTGCAGCAACAAGGCTGATTTGGTTGGATGCTGAAATCCCACCCTATTGGAAATACGTATGTTGGAATACCCCAATTTTTAAATAGTTATGTTACATAGATCACTAAAAAAAAGTAAAGAAGTGCATATTACCTCCACTTCTGTTGAACTCCATGAACTCAAAATTCCCCATAGAGCTTCAGGCGCTGTGCCTTCCGTATTTCTACCATTTTGGAACCTTATGAATACAGCAAATACGAATGATGAATAATTGCCGAGAAAGTCTTGCAGGCCTTGACATTCCAAAAGGTTGAGTGAAAAGTTCGCGCGGTAGACTCTGCCTTAAAGCGTGGCATAAAGAGCTCGACTTGACCTGCATATTGTTTGAGTTTTTGCAGTTCACCTTACTGCTTTCAGAGGTCTTTTTCTCGGAATACGGCATTTATAATAATAAAATAACATCCTGAGATCCTGCTACACCAGAGCATGCGGAGTGTGTCTGGGAACGGGAACGAGAATGAAAGCGGGCAGGGTCTAACGTCCATCCGTTCAGTCGTGTCTGTAACGCTATTGATGACGTCATCCCGTTCCCGTATTTAATCTGGTCAGCAGAGTTTCCACAATCTTTTATTGCCTGACTGTACTGTACATATATGACTCATATCCCAAGAAAGAACAGATTTGATTGAGGGATCAGATCTTCGAACCCATTAAGGGAACGAGGAATTTTTGGGGTTGTCGGGAGTCAGGGTTGTCATCGTGTGGAGTAAATGGGCCGCGAAAGTTTTCTTTCGTTTTCGATCCGCCGATTCTGTTCATAGCTTCTCTTCTCTGTGAGAACGGTCCTTGCAGCTCATCGCGGCGTGGCGGGGCGAGGTCTCACTCGCCAAGAAAGTGAACTCAATCTTGTGTTTTTCCTTCTGGCGCTCGTGTCGAGGTATTCGGCCCCGATGTGCCTACGAGAGGAGAGGGAGGTCCCTTTTGAGGAGCTGATTTCATACAGTGGAATAGCGTCGCAAATTGGATCATGCGAGTCGCCTGGCACCTGTGCACAAGATTCAATTCATGATTCATTAGCTCGCGCGGGTCCTGGCTGTTGGTCTCCGATCGCTTTGATGGCAAAGGCCGGTCGTTCCCATTTTCTTCTGAACGTCGTAATCGGATTCGATTGCTTGCCAACTGTATAAATCCTGAGATGCATACGATCTCATTAATAACATGTTCGGAACATTGAATGCTTTCTCAGAATATTGCGAAGTTGCATTCGGCGTAGGTCTACTCTGCCTTCGCAAGAAGCTCAATTCGAAAACCGGTCGGAGAGTAGGAGCATCTAAGAGAGTCAGGAGCGACCCGCTCCTCCAGCGGGTGACGTCACCACGATGACGAGACGGGCCTTCCCCTCCCCCCCTGCGTTACCTCACTGGGGTGTAGGGGGGAGGGATAGACGGAGGAGGGTCTCTGGGAAGTCTTTTCAGTCTGTATCGAGGCGGTTGGGAGTTAGTGCTGCTATTAATACTTGAGGTCTAAGTTCTTTTTATTATTTTCATGGGTCCGGCTGATCGAGTGTTCCACATGGCATTTCCCTGGCAAAGAAAGAAAGTTTCTTTTCCTGCGTTTCATAAGTGAGTTTAGACAATGGCCTTTTCAAGCTTTCCTAGTATCCAGGTAAATACATGCAAAATGCGTGGAATTGACTGGGATAACTCGCGAAACACTCGGAAACAGGCAGTTTGATGGTGCAAACGCGGAATGAATGCGATTCTCCACTGCGTGCCTCTTGGACAGGTACTGAATCAACACTACTTGACAGGCTCACTGTCTATTCTTAATTAAATTTCCGTTTTTAAATCGCTATTCGTATTTACTCCATTGTCTGACATTATCTGGGTAGGTTTACACAATAGAATAAGAAATGGTCTCTTGGGGAAAAATTCCATCCGGTGGCATTAGTAATTCTTACAACGGCCGACCCCAAGCTTAAGAGCAGCCTGAGTCTATTAATTGGACTCCCTTCTATTGCCACGCATGTTGCTATCGCACCTACTCATCATCTCCAATGCCTTCGCTTAGAAAAGTTCCCTGGAACTTACGCTACTCCACTACCGTCTTGTGTAATTAACGACTAAAATTCTACCTCATTCACGTCAACTTACTAAAGTTTTTAGAAATACCTTACAAAGCCTTCGCAGGTTGGTGCAGTTGTTTTTCAGCAAGTGGTAGGTGTCGGTCGTCATCAACGAAAAAGTTATTTGAAATTGCTTTTCCATTTAAGGATATACCAACCGAAAACGAAGCGTCCGAGCGTCTGGGACGAAGTATTGGAGAGATTCTGCGACTGGCACGACATGCACGGTCTGTACTTCCTGAGGAACAGGGAATCCCTGGGCGTCGCCAGATGGCTCCTCTGGATGGTGGTGGAGGTCAGCCTCATCACCTGGTGCTTCTATGGCTGCTACAAGCCCATCATGGATTTGGTGAACGGGAAGCACTCCGTGTCAATAGATATGGATATAGCTCTGTTGAAGCGCAAGGTCTTGCCGGATCTCACTATTTGCCCGACCAATCCCCTGCGAGAAGATGCCGACCTTGGTACCATATTTTATTCTATGATTGAATATAGTTTAAAACAGTATAAGAGTGCATTTTGTGATGGAAAACATGTGAAGGTGTTCAATCTCCGTCCTTCAATTTTTACAGTTGCTAGCCTTTTCTTGAGGATAAATTCTACGAGCATTAATGTAAATTTTCATCGAGAGCATTTAAGAATTTTTTTTCTTGAAACTGAAATTTGCTGCTTCGCATTCTTGGTGGGAATACCTACGGATTAAAACAGCAATTGCTGCAAGTCTAACCATATAAACATGGATTTTAAGGTGTAGAATTTCTTGACATCCATATTGTTTCGGGGAGGAACTCAAACATCGCGTTTCCATTATAACTTTTCGAGAAAAAATAGTTGAAAGCTTGAATCATTTTCGTTCATCGTAATTATCGCTGTGGTACTGATATTCTGTCAATAATTTCCGTTTCCTCATCTAATATAATTTTACATTTTTCTACAACAGCTTTGGAAGCGAGTCAAGAGGTACTCGCCTACACGATGGGCGTCTTGAGTCGCGGCGACTCCTTGTCCCAGAAATTCCGATCCGACTTGGCTCGCCGAGAACGTCTGGAGACGGAACTCGATGAGCTCCTTCGCAGAAATCGAACTACCATACCGCAGTTGCTCTTTTCAGCTTCGCTCAGGTTTGGTGCATAGAAAGAAAAAAGTTGCCTTATACATGCTTGACGCTTATCCGGACAAGGGAGATCCTATGGTTCCCATAGTCTCAATTTTTCTGAACAGCAGTCGAAACATTGCATTTTCCTGCAATTCTTTATATTCTTCCTTCAAGTGGAGGAGACCCGGACACCAGAACATCACGACCTTGAAACGCTTTCAATTGTTTTCAATTTTTTTAGTTATGTAACTGGGCGAGGGCCCATTGGATCCCTACTACTTTCATTGTACACGTGCAAAATGTTTCCTTATTCTATTTCCAAGCTTTTTCACCTAATGTTTGCCTGAAGGGCCTGCTAACAACAAGGGCAAGAGGGAAAAAGGGAGGGAAGATGGGAATCCCAGATTCCATCTGAGGTTAATGGGAACGGACTCCCCCGCAAACTGGTTCTTGAGACGAGTCGCAAAGGGAATCCCCGATTTAGGCTAATGGGAAAGGACTTCCCCGCAAGCAGGTTCTTGAGAAGAGCAGAGTCGCAAAGGTTATGCGTATTAATGATTCTGATGCCACGATGTATAACGGTAGTACTATTCTACGAGGTGTCGAAGACAAGGACATGGCGTAAAAAGCAGTCTTTATGGCGTCACGTGAGAGAAATCAAGCAGTGCTGAAACTCCGGCCACCTCATACGCGGAATCACTCCACTTTGAACGAGAGTCGATTTTTATCCAGACAATCTAGGTATATTAAAATTTCAGAAAACAAATTTTGTTGCTGTTTGTGATACGAAAGCATCACGAACCTAGGACCAGAGCCCTGCACGGATTGCGGCTGACCCGATCGGGCCGACCTGACCCGACCCGCGGGCCGTCTGTGATCGAAATTCCCAAGATCCTTCACTGGGTAGGGCAGAATTTTTAAATTGCATTTTAAAATTTAATCGCTCTTCTGGCTTCAGACTATGGAAACTCCGTGTCATGATTGGAATTCATTCATGCTTGTAGTCCGAGTGAAGGAAGATACTTTATTGTGTGACCATTAATGTACAGTAAATAAAGGAAGGAAGAATCTGAGCCGGGCATGAGGCGATTGGTGTCACTCAAGACAGGAATCTGTATGGCTCCTTCTCTTCTAAGCAATTTTTTCCTGTCAGTCAACAGTCGACAACCTCCTGTTTTTGTATAGCAACTTTGAATGATGAGGAAATGCACAGGAAAGCTTAAGGTGAAGTGTTTTAAGTTTTGCTCGGGTCGGGTCGGGCCGGGTCACGACTTGAATCGGGCCAATCGGGTCGTGTACCGGAAAATCGGCCCGTGGAGGGCTCTACCTAGAGCATCCACAACAGGTTTTACAGAACGTTGAACAGGACATGTTTTTTTCTGGTGGTGGGGTCACCTGGTATATACAGTACAGTAAAATGATAGGGGGTTCAATGGTTCCTCTTGCTCGGTTACGTTCGTCTTTTACATTGCCCGGATAAGGATTAAGTTTTCGATTTTCATAGGAAGAGACCATGGTCCAGATTATGTTTTCACCGACTCTGGAGAGGCTGAACATGTTGCAATGATGCTTTCACAATCAGTTTCGCTTGCGAAACATATTTCTATGAACTGAGTAAATTGGATATTACCTTTAGTTTCCTTTTTTTTTACAATTCAAAATCATGTAATTCAGGTGTCGAGACATGGTGATATCTTGCGAGCTGGGCGGAGAGTCGAGAGTGCTGGACTCGGAGCAGTGCTGCTCGGAGATCTTCTTGTCTCGACCGTTGACCTCGATGGGCCCCTGCATCTCGACCCACGGATACACCCGCTATCAGAACTACCCCGGAGCTTCCATGGGACTCAGCGTCATGCTGAAGGTCTTCAAATCCACGTGTATGTTCGCTCTCTGATGCGGGTAAATATGTGGAAGGTTGTCTTGCGAACTTTTCTGGATGCAAGGATTTCATGAGTGCAAACGTTTCATTCCGTCCCGTAGTGACCCAATAGGCTGCATTGAGCCGGTAACGCTCATATGGAAGTATTAGTCGCATCGTGGACGAAGGTGACCTTTCCGCTTGTACGTTCACTTTTACCAGCTGGATTAGTAAGATATTGAACTGATTAGGATGTGAACTGCAGAAACACGTTGATTGTTGTGGAGAACAGGAATTCATAAGATGCGGGGGAAAAATCATCCAAGGAATTAACTCACATTGGAGTTCTTTCCTCGTTTCTAGGGCTGGACAGAAGCGTCCTTTCGGATGTGGCCCAAGCAGATGGATATAAGGTCATCCTGACCGCTAGCTACGAATCCCCGTCTCTTGCTGCCAAAATGAGGGCCCATTCCGTCAACCCGGGAAGGAAGACTCTTCTCGGCCTTCAAGCCGTCAGGGTAAGCCGTCTAGAAATCCTTTCCAGTCTGGTCGGGCAACTGACCACTGTCGTTCATTCGCCAGGCGTCGTGGGAGGACGTGACGCGTTGAATATCGCCGCTGATCGATGGACGGAGTACGGGGTATATTAGTTTATCGTGTTTCCCTATTGTTTGATGGTCAGCTCATTTGGTTGAGATTCATATTAGTTTATCCCGATCCCAATGGTCAATTCGTTCTTGATGTGTGAATGGTCGATACCAACCCCTACAAAAAGTATGTCGTATTAACATCCTATACCCTGCGTGGTGTCCAGGGAAAAACTGAGGCCCAGGACTGAAATTAATTCAACTGGAGTCATCAGGCCCATTAATATTCCACCCACGACTCCCAAAGGAGTCATAAGTAAGACTTGAAATTAGGCACTCATCGTTTTCGATTCCTTTAGAGCAGGGGTCGGGAACCTATTGCTCTTGAGCCAAATTTAGCTCACGAGCCGAAAAGTTTGGCTCATTGTGTCATGGTTGAAAATAATGGTTGTTCCTCATGTATCAAAGAATGCACACCCTTGTCAACTTCAGGAAAAATTATGCTGCTCTGAAAATCTTTTTGCTCACAAGCACTTAGCTCAACCTTAATATGGCTCACTATGCCAAAAAGGTTCCCGACCCCTGCTTTAGAGGAAAGGAAAGTCAAGTAGGACATGCACATTAGGCTCTTGGTTCCCTCCTTCCCCCCAACCGTTCCGCTTAGCCCCCTCATTGGCGAAATCCTAGCTGCGTCACTGACTTGAAGGAAGCGCATTAAAGGGGGAGTACGAATTCTGGAGGGAAAAAAACAGTGTAGAAGGAGGCTCTCGAATGAGGAGACGTTATGATTCAGGTGACTTCCAGCTCGTCCTTAAAGTCAGTTCGGCCAATAGACACTGCCAATATATGGGTGGATTTTTGAACAGAGAACTATCCGATAATGTAGCTTTATTTACCGGATTTACAATGCATTTTCTCTTAAATAAAGCACCATTATCGGATAATGCTCTGTTCAAAAATCCACCCTATGTTTCAGTCTTATGATTGAAAATGTTTGGCCATAGCGTACGTTCTAAGGCAGGTCTCTTAATAGCCCAAGGAATCACATTCAATGTGAACCAACTCATCAGCACATGAGCAAGGACTATAGTGTGATGTAAAAGGAGTTTTCTGTCCCGACGCCCCCCCCTTCCTCCTCCCTCCCCCCTTCCCTCTGTCCCCCCTTCCTCCCCTTCGCACCATGGTGAAAGCTCTTCGCTTGCTTCTAAGCTTACTTCCAATACTTCTCACGCTTCTGGACATCAGACCAATCTCCAGACCGAATTGAATTCCTGCTGGTTGAGCTGGGATTTTTTTTTCACTTCGATCGATTGTGTTTGCAGACAAGACGATATCCAATGTTATTCTATGCATGTCTAGAGTAAATTTTCTTAGTTTACTGTACTTTCAAAGGCTAATGAGTGCTGAGCAAGGTGTGAAAAAAATCCTCTAGAGAGAGTGGTTAAGCGCTTTTAAGGGTTGTCCAGGGGTGGGGGACACAAGGGAAAGTGTCGGGCAACCACCAAGGGTTTAACTTAAGTCATATGCGGAGTCGCTCATCGATACCTAGGTGAAGGAATCGGGGCAAAGCCGAGGAATTGGAGAAGCCTTGCCTGCCTATCTGTAGAAGTAATCAGTAACCCTAGTATGACAGGGTACCTGTGTTGGTTGACCGAACTACCAGTCCTTTAGTGAACTTCAGATGCCAGAGGAGTGAATTGCTCTCCCAGTATTTTCATTTTTTCAAATGTCATGCCATGCTTTTCTCATGGAGGTGTAGAGTTATTCGTTGCAGTTAACGTCCAAATAAAAATCAGAGTAATTTGTAATCAGAATTTACCACGGGACATCCGATCGGCCAGGTGGAACACTCCGGAAGAAACGTCTACCCGGTGAGGTCGAACGCGTGCGGCGACGTGAACGTGACGACAGCCCCCTCCCGACCCGTCCACGACCTGATGAACACCTTCCCCCATTCCTGGAACTGCGTGGAGAGGATCCTCCGGGACGCGGCCGTCACCTCGACGTGCAGCTGCAATCCCGCCGATACCCTATCTTCTGCAGGTTTCTGGAATTCTGAAGATCGGAAGGTGGTCGACGGCTGACGCCGCCGCATTTTTCTTCTCCATTTAGAGCTGGAGAATACGAGCCTGCTCGTGTGCAGTCCCGAGAATTACATGCGGTGCATAGGACAGGAAAAGGCGCTGGACAAGTATACGGAAATTGTCTTTTCCAGAGCAGGTGAGCCACCAATTTATTTTTTAGCGTGTCTCTCCCATGAAAAGTAAATCAGGTAAATAATTAAAGTAAATCGTTTGAGTGCTGTTAGAGACAGTTCTCGCTCAATTGGCGAATATTGCGCCGAAGCAGTTTTTCTGTGACGTTCTTGATCGGAACATTATCGTTACGCGAGGCTGGTGGCTAGATGCAATTAGTTTGGATTGTATTTGGTTTATTTCTTGAGAAACTCTGGAAAGCCTAGGGAAAATAAATAGAGCAGCCCTGCCAAAGGGACGGAGCGTCAAACGCAACCCAATCTGCAATTTTGAAGGAGAAGAAGGCTCTCTCCCTCTGTAAAAATGTATCATGTCTGTTGTCACGTGTCACTGTGTCCTTTCTTAAAAAAAAAACAAACTAAAACGTCTGATTAAAAGCGAACTCGGATGAACCTGATATTGCAATGAGAGTTTTAAGAGCTACCAGGGCTACGTAGGAAAATTATGCTCTCCCTCCCTTTCCCATATCAGGGCAAATAAATCAAATTATGGGATTCTCCTATTTTCTCTTGGTAAAGTTTCCTCGTCCGGGTCTGCGCTTGCTGGGTTGCCTTAAAAGTATATATCGAACCATCCCAAAATTTGAACCTGTTCAAGTAGAACTGGAACAGAGGCGAAAATCGGCCAATCACGAAGAAAATCTAGTTTCCCACATCTGTGCTGCAAACTTCGCTGAAACGAAACCTTCTGTTGAATTCGGCATATACTTTTTTCTTGCAGAGAAAGAATGCAAACCTCTGTGCACAGAGACCTCTTACGAAGCGCTGGTCACCTACGACCACCTGAATCCAGCTTACGTGGAGAGTGTGACTAACCAGTTTGGATACGACCTCAAGCAAAGGTGAGATACGAACTGATTGAGCATCGAGTTTTTTGTTGAACGAAAAATTTGGCACGCAGTGAGGAGGTCGTGATGGTTGGGGTCCATTACAACATGCTGTCAGAGCGCGTCATCACGTATACGGCGTTCTCCGTCATCGACCTCATCAGTGAGTGGACGGGAGGGTTTCTGTGTCATCCAGTGTCATCCACCTCGTCGAGGTGCTGTATTGCACTGAGGCGTTTCTCGCTCCTCAGGCAGCACGGGGGGCATCCTCGGTCTCATCATTGGAGGCAGCGTCCTCACCGTCATCCAATTCATCGCGTTCCTCCTTTGGCTCGCCCAGCGGCTGGCACGATGGGGAAGCGAGCGGATACAGGCGTCAAAACGTCTCAAGGTGACGGTGGTGGGTGCGACAGAGTCGCCGAGTGCATCCGCGTCGGAAGCATCTGGGTCGCCGAGTTCATGGAGGACCTTGTTTCTTCTCGAAGCGAAGGCGGGAGACAAGGGATTCGCCATGCGCGACTCTCTCTTCATCTAAATCTTCGCATGCACATTTACATATCAGATGATTTGACGAAATAAAATTATTTCAGCATTCCTTCTTTAACGTTTGCATAACACGAATGGGTTATGCGTCCCGTGCGATTAGCTTTCTTCAACATGGATTTCTCATTGATCACCTTCGTGGAGGTAAACCATGACATGAGTATAAAAAGGGATTTCTTTTCCACGGTTAAGAAAAACAAGGAATCCGGTTAACTCAGGGTCAAATTTCTCTCAAAGTTGCAGCAGCACTTGAAAGGTGAAAATCCTCGCATAAGGAATAAAAATCGTTCGAAAAAAAAATCATCACTGAAAAAAGAGAACTAAATCTCGGGGAGTGGAAGTCGCCCGGGAGTACATGAATCACATTCGCTCAATATTTTGCACTTGTAGACGAGGCACCAATGCATTGAAATGAAATCTTTCTGCGAAAATTAGGGCGGTGTATTGAAATGAAAACCGTGTCATCGATTCAATATCTCTGGGAATTCCTCGTGTCCTCGGCATTCTTCGTACGAGGAAAAAGGCCTTCACGGACTCGCAACTTAGACTCGAAGGCATTTTCCAAAGCGGAACCCTGTCCACGTGGCGAGTGAGTCCTGAGAATATAAAATCAGCAAAATGCCAAATTTTAAGCGTTCATGAAACAGCTGATGGATTCGAAGACGTGTGTTGAAAGAGCTTATTGGAATTTGGATCAGCTTTCCAGTTCAGAGGGAATAACATCATCAAGGAATGTCAGATTCAGTACCGAGGGATGAAGGCGTTCCCTGCATGGAAGCGCGTGAATGTCAGGGGCGAGAGTCTCCTTGACAGATCATTCCTGATCTGGATCGGCTGTCCCCCTTTCGACCGTCGGCGTGCGACTGTCGATTCCATTATTCCGTTACAATGCTCTGGTTCGATTCAGAAACTGGGGTGAACAAATATGTTGAGTGCGGTACATGTAGATCTGGGATGAAAAAAAAAAAAAACAAGATGTAAATATAGATAAAATAACGATGACCTTATATGCAAGGTAAAGTGCATGTAATGTAAATGATGTAATGTAAATGGAATGTAAAAAAAATGGTTTGGAGTAAAACCTTCAAATGGCCTTCGAAGAGAAGAGGTTTCAGGTACTTGAGCAACTATTTGAAATGAGCTCACTTCCAAAGCCATATATTACGACGCTTTCCAACAACTCGATAGTTCCGGTACTATTTAGGAAGAGGTTCGAGACGGCTCAATGTCTTGTGCTACCTGAAACGTCTTGCCACGATCTTTAGTTCCAAGAATCGAACTGTTTCGGTAAGTGCTTGCTTGATTCAATGAAAATTGTTCCAATCCGAGCCGGTTTTTTTTCATGTGTAGACTAAATAATTTAATGCATTTCACCCGACATCTGAATGAAACAATGACTGTTTCCTTAAATGCTTTTTCAATCTGGATTATCCGCGGACTTCAGCAGTAAGGCGGGCCATTGCAACTTGGTAGCTAGTGACTGATTAGATCATTAAAATGCATCGCGTTTGGTGACCCACTTTCAGCCCCACGAAAACACGCGGAATGAAGACGCTAGCGGAGAGTAGAAATGTCACGATGAAGCGATACGCACCCACCCGAAACCGGAAAGGTCAACCGAGCGTTTTCGGCCTTCAGATACCGCAGGGAGTCCCGAGCGGGCAGCGACGGTCGCTTCAGTCCTCACTGGTCGGCGCCCGGCTGGAAGTGAAGGGAGTACAGTATCAGATGCGTCACCCGAGGATGTGGCGAAGGGATTCGTGGCAGCATGTAGTTCCATGGACAGTCGAGACCACAGCGGCCACCGAGTAAGTCTCCATTCGGCATCAAAGTCGTATTGGGAGAATCATTGCCCAAAATTACACTCCTCTTTGGAACAATTTCTCAATTGATGTTCATTCCCGCGGGGGAACGAAATGCAGGCGTAAGTACTAAAGCATGGGCATGGTCGTTGAGTATGACTTTTTGGGTTGCAGGGAGCCATCCGTTCCCTCCATAAGTATGTTAATATTTCGCTCATGAATTGCATTCAAGCACGATGGCGGAAAAACTCAGGTTTCCACAAAATCCCAATTAATCTCCTGTTTCAGGGCACATCCGTCGAAACGGAAGGATGTCTGCGTCTCGGACAAAGTGCNTGGAGAAATTCTGCGACTGGCACGACATGCACGGCCTGCACTTCCTGAGGAACAGGGAATCCCTGGGCATCACCAGATGGCTCCTCTGGTTGGCTCTGGAGGTCAGCCTCATCGCCTGGTGCATCTATGCCTGCTACTCGCCCGTCATGAATCTGCTGAACGGGAAGCACTCCGTGTCGATAGATACGGATGGAGCTCTGTTGAAGCGCAGGGTCCTGCCGGATCTCACCATCTGTCCGAACAATCCCCTGCGGGAAGATGCCGTCTTTGGTTAGATGTTTTTTCTTCTCTCATGGAGTGTAGCTGATATCCTACTACGTGATAGTATAATTTGTGAGGAAAAACACGAAAGGTGCATGCTCTCCGTGCTCATATATTAACAGATGGAGATCTTAGAATACGTTCCTGGGCTTCAATATAAACAGCGTTGGATGAAGAATGAACATTTTTCCAGATACCGGACATTCGAAATTTCAAATTGCTGCAGGCAATGGTAACCACTGAAACTGCTAAGAATCCCATGTCCAGCTTTAACACCATTTCATACAGTCCGTCTCATATTTATTTTCTTTCAGGAAAAACCTTTCGCTCACCACTGACTAGCTTAAAATAATCAAGGTTTTGAATTTCAAATTAAAAATTCATTTTGAAAAATCGTACGAAAAAAGAAAATATTTCATGAAAATAATTCTTCCCATTAATTATGATTTTTTCTTTTCTGTGCCGATAGAATTGAAAGTGAAGCAAGAGGTTTTGTCGTATGCGATGGGTGCCTTGAATCGCGGCGACTCCTTGTCCCAAAAATTTCGTTCCGATGACGCTCGCCGGGAACGTCTGAACGCAGAACTCCAAGAGGTCCTCCGCAACAATCGATCCACTCTACCGCAGTTGCTCCTTTCATCTTCTCTCAGGTATAGTACTCGGCCGAATTTTCGCGGCGGGGACTGTGGGTATTGTTTGATTTTAAGTTACTCTTAGAGATACTGTTCATGGATCGTGGATATCGCGTGCACGGAAAGACGGAATAATGACGATCGATTCCGCTCGCAAATTCTCTTAAAATAAGCTGCATGGGCTCTTCGATGGTCTATCCAGCAAATGCTGCCTTCACCCCGTTCAATCGGAAAAGAATCCCATCCAGGTGTCGAGACATGGTGATATCGTGCGAGCTGGGCGGAGAGTCGAGAGTGCTGGACTCGGAGCACTGCTGCTCGGAGATCTTCTTGTCTCAACCGTTGACCTCGATGGGCCCCTGCATCTCGACCCACGGATACACCCGCTATCAGAACTACCCTGGGGCTTCCATGGGACTCAGCGTCATGCTGAGGGTCTTCAACTCTTCTTGTACGTTCTCTCTCTGGTCCTGCTTCTTCAACATGTAAGTCATGGGTCATAGAAAGTAAAGACAGAACTTCCCACTGACAGAATCCATTCCATGTAATTTAAAATTTTGTCGTTGGCGATTGTCGTAACAGGAACAAACGAAAGAAAACATAGATTTCCAATAAATCATTGATTCCACGAGAAATCCCATCAGACATTCATGGATCTCTCAGCCGACAAGAATATTCTGAAAGCACCCTGCGATTACCTTTGCTATGGGATCCCATCAGTAGAGCGAAGGAGCGCAGATCCAATGCGTCGAATGCAAGTCAGAGACGACAGAGCCGAGTCAGCAGTCTCAGCGAGCTCTAGGAGAGGACGTGGATGTAAAGTCTCAAGGATTTTGGGATCGATCTTTTCCGTTGTGGGTGCGTGGATGTGCGTTGTTGGGGGATTTGAGGGAAGAGAGGAAAGGTGATCTCGAGATGAGGCTGTCTCTTGCATATTTATCTCAGGGGAGAGTGCAGAGAACCCTTAATGAGACTGTCGCTCCTGATCGGCCTAGAGACGAAGAATCAGTGACATTATCGTAATAAATTCAAAAATTTTCTTCGAGAATGGGTTTCAGGTGTTTTCCCATTGGTCGTTGCTCTGTGGTCCACATAGTGATTACCACGGTATGGCTCCCCTTGGGTGGCCTGCAGTCGCTGGCTGGGGCTCAGCTCATCCTTGCGCTTCATATGTTTGCATTCCTTGAATGTATGTGAGTCTGTCGCTCTTCGAGGCCTGGAGAAAGGCGGAGAAAATTCCTTGGACTAAGTTCATCCAATGACGCTTGTATTTCGAGATTTTTAGCTGCTGCACCCGTCAATATATTTGGACAAATGGTACAAAATACAAATCGTGTGCTGGAGGGAAGTGCAAAATATGTGGTATTTAAAGTGAACTTTTCACGCAAGGACTCCGTCCGGATTTCTCGTTTCGCTTCCAGGGCTGGACAGAACAGTCCTTTCAGGGCTGGCCCAAACTGACGGATACAAGGCCATCCTCACACCCAGCTACGAATCCCCGTCTCTCTCTGCCAAGATGAGGGCACATTCCATCAACCCTGGCAGAAAGACCGTTCTCGGTCTGCAAGCCGTCAGGGTGAGTGTCCTGATTTTCGTCTGGATTCGTTCGAAGGTCGTAGACCAGGCAAGCGCTATTCGTAATCTGAATACAAACGACCCATGTTTCCCTTTGAGCAAAGCAAGATATCAGGAATTTCGGTCGGTCGCGGGGAGAGTGCAAGGTTTTCCGAAAAACGTGGGCCACCAAACTTATGCTAATCCAACTTTTCATATCATAAATGTGCCAACGACTCCAAGTCTCCTGGTATCCGAGCCGTCGATCATCCACCGACTTCATCACTCATCACTGCATCCTTCCGAAAAGAAAAGCTTTGAGCTCACGACGGAATTTCGTTCTGCGCATGCGCACCGGAAACCACAGCATCCAACTGGAGGCATTCGCTGGGGCAGAGCTTTCGCCC